CGGCAGCGGGACGCCGCGTCCCGCGGCGCGCGCGCCCCGGGCGCCCCCCGGCGACGCCCCGTTCTCTTCGTAGGAGCGGGTCCCCGCCGGCGACGCCTTCGCGCCGAGCCACCGCGGGTCTCGGCGTTCCGGGGGCGCGCGCGGCCGGCGAGCGGCGCGGCGGAGGAGAGGGGAGAGGCGCGCGCGCGCGCCGCGGTCCACGTGGATGCCGGTGCTCCAGGTGGCGCAGCGGACGCGACGGGTGACGGCGCGGCGGCCGCCCCGGTGTCGCGGTCCCCCGAGGAAGCGGGCTCCGGCCCGCCGAGGAAGCGGGACCGGCCCGGCGCGGCGCCCGCGGCTCCGCCCCGCGGCCAGCGGCCCAAGGAGCCGCCCTTCCCCTTCACGGACCTCGTGACCGTGGGCAAGGGCACCTACGGCGAGGTCTACAAGGCCCGGCCCGGCCCCGAGCGCCGCTCGGCCCAGGGCGACATCGTCGCGCTCAAAAAGCTCGTGCAGCGCCACGACGACTGGGGGTTCCCCATCACGTCGCTCCGCGAGCACCGCATCCTGTTGCGACTCCGCCACCCGAACCTCGTGCGTCCGGCGTCCCCGCGGTCTTTTCGCGCGTCGCGCGCCGGCGAGAGGCGGTCCGAACCCCCCCGACGCGCGGCGGTCCGACCCCCCCCCCCGCGACGGCAGGTCACGCTCCACGAGATCTACACGCCGACGCCGTGCTACGCGAGCGCCGTCTACATGGTCTTCGAGTACCTCGAGCTCGACCTCGAGATCCTCATCCAGAGCCCCATCGTCAAGTCCATCGACGAGGCGCGCGTCAAGAGCGTCATGCAGCAGCTCCTCGAGGGCGTCCACTTCATGCACAAGAACAACGTCATGCACCGCGACCTCAAGCCGTCGAACCTCCTCGTGAACCGGCGGGGCGACGTGAAGATCTGCGACTTTGGGCTCGCGCGGTCCTACAAGCCCGGCCACGCCTACACGGGCACGGTCATCACGCTCAACTACCGGCCGCCGGAGCTCTGCCTCGGCTGCCGCCACTACGGCCCGCCCGTGGACGTCTGGTCCGTCGGCGCCATCTTCGCGGAGCTCCTGGGCCGCGAGATCGCCATCCCGGGCCGCGGCGAGGACGACTACCTCCAGAACGTCTACGCGGTCTGCGGCACGCCGAGCGAGGCCGACTGGCCCGAGGCGAAGCGCGTCTGCCCCAAGTGGCGCGAGGCCTGCGCGCCGCCGCTCGCCGCGGGCGACCCTGGCGCGTCGCCCGCGCGGCCGCGCGAGCCCTACAAGCGCGCGCTCGCCGACAAGTACGGCAAGCTGTCGTCCCTCGGCACGCCCCTCCTCGAGCGGTTGCTGACGCTGTCGCCGAAGCAGCGCGTCGCGGCCAAGGACGCGCTCGACGACGACTACTTCTGGGAGGGCGACGAGCCGCTGCCGCCGGGCGCGCGCGCGCTGCCCTGGGACGTCGACAGCGTCCGCGCCGCGCGCGACGACCAGCTCCGGAGCCGCAAGCGCGGCAACTACTAGACCCACCCCAAAAAACAAAAAAAAAACGACAAAAAGTTTGAGAAACATCCGCCGCTCGCGCGCGCAGACCGCGCCGTGGCCCCGTCCAACAACAAGCAAGACCCCGACAAAACCAACAAAAACAAGAAATAAGAAGATCCAAAACACACCCGCCGGCGCCGGGCGGCGGCGTCGTGCGCCGGGCGGGCGGCGCGGACGGCTGCGGCAAGGCTCGAGCGGCGAGGCTGCGGCGAGGCCTGCGGTGGCTCGCCGAGCCGCAACCGGTGCCCAGCCGCAGGCTTCGATCGAGCGCTGCGCGCGCAACGACGCGCGCGCGAACGCGACGTCGCGGCCGACGCGATGGAGACGAAGATCGACGACCTCAAGACGCAGCTGACAAAGCTCGAGTCGCCGGAGACGACGGGCTCCAACAAGGAGCGCAAGAAGCTCTACGTGGCCCTCGAGCTCTGCGCCGCCTACGCGTCGCTGGACCTGAAGCGCAGCGTCGTCCAGTACGCGGACCTGGGCGTCGACCTCGACGGCGAGTGCGTCGAGGCGCACTGCTACAAGGCCGAGGCGCTGCGGGGCATGGCGGAGGGGAAGCCGAGCCACAAGGCCGTCCAGCGGTGCGCGCGGGCCGCGGACAAGGGCCTGAAGGCCTGCGATCGCGTCGTCTCCCTCGAGGGCCTGTCCGGCTACCGCGCGCGCCTCGAGGCCTGCAAGGCCGCCGTCGCGGCGCTCGACGCGCCGCCGCCGCCGCCCGGAAGCGGCAAGCCCAAGAAGACGCGCGACGCGCCGCGCGAGGCCGCGAGCCGCGCGCCCGCGCCGCCGCGGAAGCTCGACGCGGCGCCGGCGCGGAGCGGCGCGCCGGCGCCCGCGGCGGCGCCGCCGACGACGGAGGCCGTGCGGACCGCGGGCGGCGCGCCGCTCTCGAAGTCCGCGTGGAACGTCAAAGATACGTGGGAGGAGGTCGACGTGACGAGCTGGGCCGTCGAGCGCATCGCCGAGCTCTTCATGGGCACGCCCCTGCCGCTCTACGACGGCGACCTGCGCCTGCGGATCTACGACGTGCGGCGCGTCGTCGGCCACGCGCAGGTCGTCATCTTCCAGCGCAAGGTGCGGTCCATCTTCGACCTCGAGGAGGTGGAGCTGAGCTGGGTCGCCGAGGACGGGGGCGAGGGCCAGTTCAAGGGCGCCGCGACGCTCCGGGGCTTCGCCAACTCCGCGGACGCGGGCGACCTCGAGATCTCGACGAACTTCGCCTGCAAGACCGAGACGCACGAGGCCGTCAAGACCTTCCTGCGGAACGAGGGCGGCGCGCGGGCCCAGCTCGCCCAGCTCCTCGAGGACTTCGAGCGCGAGTTCACGCAGCTCACGGGCGACGGCGTCGCGCTCGCGCGGTCCTTCGAGAAGAGCGGCCGGCTCCGCGACCCCGCGGCGGAGGAGAACTCACCGGAGGTCCGCGAGGCCCGCCTCGCCGCGGCGAAGCGCCAGGCGTTCCAGGACGACATGCGCATCTCCAACCCGAAGCTCAAGGTGACCATGTAGGGCCGTCGGGCGGCATTTAAGGCGTCGATTTTTACCGCCGGGAAGGTGACCATGTAGGGCCGCCGGCTTTGTAAGGCGTCGATTTTTACCGCCGGGACGCCGGGGGCTCGGCACCATCGCGGAAACATCTTCACGAAGAAGCTCCCGGCGAGTGGCGGAGGAGCTGCGCCAGCTTGTGCCATCCGTGTCGTTCCGCGCCGGAACGCCATGCTCCGACAATCGCTCGCCCGGCTAGGCCCGGCCCTCCGCGGCGCGGGCGCGCCGTCGCCGCTCGCCCGGGCGGCGGCCCCGTTTTCCTCCGTCGGCGGCCAGTCGTCGGAGAACATCAAATACTTTAAGATCTACCGGTGGGACCCCGAGGTGCCGGGCCAGAAGCCCTACACGTCGACGTACCCCGTGGACCTCGACGACTGCGGCCCCATGGTGCTCGACGCGCTGATCAAGATCAAGGCGGAGCAGGAGCCCGGGCTCACGTTCCGGCGGTCGTGCCGCGAGGGCATCTGCGGGAGCTGCGCGATGAACATCAACGGGACGAACACGCTCGCGTGCCTCTGCTACATCACGGCGCCCGGCGAGAGCAAGTCGGAGAAGCCCGTGACGATCAACCCGCTGCCCCACATGTACGTCATCAAGGACCTCGTCGCCGACATGACGAACTTCTACGACCAGTACCGGTCGATCAAGCCCTGGCTCCGGACCAAGGAGGAGCACGACCTGGGCAAGGGCGAGGAGCATCTGCAGAGCGTCGTCGACCGCAAGAAGCTCGACGGCATGTACGAGTGCATCCTCTGCGCGTGCTGCTCCACGTCCTGCCCGTCGTACTGGTGGAACGCGGACAGCTACCTCGGCCCCGCGGTGCTCATGCAGGCCTACCGGTGGATCGAGGACTCGCGCGACGAGTTCCGCGAGGAGCGCCTCGCGGAGCTCGACGACGCCTTCAAGCTCTACCGGTGCCACACGATCATGAACTGCTCCAAGACCTGCCCCAAGCACCTCAACCCGGGCAAGGCCATCGGCGAGATCAAGAAGGCCATCGCCGACGGCCACTAGGCCGCGGCGCCCCCCTCCGTTGTGCTATACATCATTACTGCTTCTTCTTGCCGAAGAGGGGCGTGCCCACGCCGAAGTCCGCCTTCCGCGCGTCCGCGGCATCGTTCGACTCGAAGGCCACGGGCTCGGGCGCCGGCGCCGCGACCGGATCGGGCGCCTTGGCGAAGCCCTTGTCGCTCTCCGACGCCTTGAGCTTCTTGCGCTTGCGGACGCGCTTCGCCGCCTGCTGCGCGACCTCGGCGTCGTCGCCGTCGTCGTCGAAGAGCTCGATGGACACGGGCTGCGGCAGGTCGTCCTCGTCGTCGTCGGGCAGGACCAGGCGCCCCGTGAAGGTGCCCTCCTTCTGGAAGCCGCCGCCGCGGAGCACGACCTTGGAGAGCAGCTTCGACGTCTGGCTCTCGGCCTCGGAGATCGCGACGCCGTCGACGACCGCGTAGCCGCCGCCGCTCGGCACGACCCGGCCGCGCCAGAAGACCGTGCCGCTGGGCACGTTGTAGAGCTCGCGGTAGATCTCCGTCATGGGCTGGCTGAACTCGAGGTACGCGTCGGCCGGGCTCTCGCCGCCGTCCGGGTCGCCGCCGACGACGCGCCACTCGCCGGGGCCGTCGCTGATCATGCCCGCGCTGTACTCGCAGGTCCCGTCGCCGTCGAGCTCCAGCAGGCAGTCGCGCTCGTAGAAGCCGAAGCAGGCGAAGTTGAGCACGAGCCGCTCGTCGCCGAGCGCCGCGGCGACGTCCGACGGCGACGCGCGGAGGGAAACGCCGGCGCCGCGCGGCGCGCGCGCTCCGGGCCGCGGGAGCGCGAAGCCGTGGGCGCCGGAAACGACGAGCGCCGCGACGAGGCAACAGCGAGCCATCATGCTCTGCATCAACTCCATCGATCCCTGATCAGGCCTGAGGCAGATGAGTCCTTTGCGCGATGGTCAGACGTTAGACCGGGACTGCGCGACCCAGACGGTGTTCCCGGTCGCGGTCATGAGCGCCTAGCTTAGCACGAGCCGTCGGCAAACGCGCGTCGACCGCTTCGCGCCGCGAGACTCCCAGAACACGTCGAACGGAGCCATGGTGGACCTCACGTCCTTCCGGCGCCGCGGGTCGGCCATCGTGGGCGAGCTGGAGACGCAGGAGTCGTCGATGGCCGACCTGCAGAAGCAGCTCGAGGCGGCGCGGCTCCAGGGCGAGCAGCTCAAGCAGCAGGCGGCCGCGGCGCCCGTCGTCGAGGAGGGCGCCGCGTACGACTTCGACTACGCCGCACTCATGGCCATGGCCGACGCGTCGCTCGCCACATCGGCGCCGTCGCCGGCGCCGGCGCCGTCGACGGCGGACCTGCTCGCGCTCGCGGACGGCTCCCGGGACCCGGCGCCGGCGACGCGACGGGTCTGCGGCGTCTGCGGCGACGACCCCTACGCGCTCCAGAGCCAGCTCATCCCCTGCAGCAAGTGCGCGGCGCCCCACCACGTCGGCTGCGTCGGCCTCCGCGCCATCCCCTTTAAAGGCGCGACGCGGTCCGAGCGCGGCCACCGCGAGCTCTTCGTGCGCCGCTACTTTGGCGACTGGCGCTGCGCGTCCTGCCGCGACGAGCCCGACGCGCCGGCGGCGCCCGCGCCCGCCGCGGCGGCCGCGCCGGCCGCGGTTAGTGCGCCAGTCGTCGCCGCCGCGCCCGCGGCCGCG